CTGTGCACAGGGTTAGGAAAAGTTAGCTTTTCTGTTTCAGTTTGATTTATAATTTAGGAGGCCACACCTTCACCTTCCTGCTCCCACTCACCTTGCAGATCCAGTAACACTTCTCCATTTTGTCAAGTTGTTCCTCCTTTGATCCCATCCGTCGTCTCTCCAGGCCATCCAGCAACATAGAAAACAGATTTATCTTGCCTGGCTGAGACCGTTCAAGAGCCTCTTAGTAATTTAGTATCTTGTCGGATAGTACAGTGTCTACAGACTCCACTTTATGTTTTTAGGAAATGAACATCCACGTAGCCAAGAACATTTTTTCAGCAGTTCTATGAAGTGTAGGGTTGGATTCTTGGAAACGCACTGCACACACAAAAATCAGAGACAACACACTTCATCAAGATAAAATGTCTTTGGGCCATGCACAAGGAAGAGCAAAGTGCAGATAGACCACCCTTAAACAAATGTCACCCTCATTTCATCCACAGGGGGCGTTCAGATTAGAGCATGGGTAGGCAAACTAAGGCCCGGGGGCCGGATCCAGCCCAATCATCTTCTAAATCTGGCCTGCGGACGGTCTAGGAATCAGCATGTTTTTACATGAGTGGAACGTGTCCTTTTATTTAAAATGCATCTCTGGGTGATTTGTGGGGCCTGCCTGGTGTTTTTACATGAGTAGAATGTGTGCTTTTATTTAAAGTGCATCTCTGGGTTATTTGCGGGGCATAGGAATTCGTTCATTTTCTCTCTCAAAATATAGTCGTCGTCCCCCACAAGGTCTGAGGGACACCCTCTGCTGAAAAAGTTTGCTGACCCCTGGATTAGAGGAAGGTTCTTCTGCTAGGCTGGACTCTCTGTAAGCACCATACACTTTTCCCAGTTTTCCCAGGCTACCAGTCCTGAATCCTTGTGTGTGAATTACATAGGATGGCAGTGCACTTGTGGCTTTGAATGTAGGCTTGTTCCACCTGCATCAAGTGGAGGAGTTGGGAGTGTGATCTGTAGTGACAAAGTGGTACCTGGTGTTGATGACATTCCTGCAGCCATCACATGTCGGAGGCTGGGTGTTTGCAGCAGGAAGCCCACTCTGCTTGTATGTAGGATTTCTGTGGTTCAACTTCATGCAGGGAGCTTACTTGAGAGCAGCAGTCTCCCCAATGTATAGACATTCAGCGCCCAGTGCATAGAGAGGTGCAGGAACAGGGGTCAAAATGTTTGGGAAGGCACAGGGCCAATGGGCTCACTCCCATGGTGGCAATTGTGGTGGGCTGGGACAGTTGAGTAGGGTTCCTTGGTTGTATCCTGTGCTAGCCATACTCAGAGTCCTGCCAATGAAATTAATGCTTTTGACTAACAAGTGCATTAATTTCAATGGGTCTACCCTAAGTAGAACAGAGCTGGATACTTAAAACCCATCTTTTTATTCAGTACCTACATTTACTTCACGGTCTTTCATCTACCAAGAAATTGATGAGGGATAGAGCCATATCAGTTTCATGGGTGCCATTTTTCTTCAGCTTTCCCCTCCTGTGAAAGTGATAAGGGAAAGGGGAACAGCCCTATGACTAGAATTCTCCTTTACATAATAAAGTTTGTAAATGTGGTAGATAACCGGAGATCGCTTTGACGTGCATGATTTATTCCTATGACAGAATTAAGTTTTCTCATCACAATATTTTGGGGGCTCTTTCACTTGGAATTCTAAATGTTTCTGATTATACCCAAGTCGTTAGATCCTAATGCATTTTGATGGCAAAGTAAAAATAATTCAGTCTTGTTAGTATTGCTGCCTTTTAGTAACCCAGTGCTTATTTATTGTGGCACTTGGCAGTAAATAATAATTTGTCCAAAGCAAAATCAATCATTGGAATAATATGCCAGAAGCAAACTAAAGCAGTTTTTTTAGAAGTGATGGAGAATAAGTGGTGCTTTGGTTTGCCTTATATGCTTAATATATGTAAGAGTGTTGTCACGCTACAGTTTGCTTGGCCACCGGCAAGTGGCGCTGTGATGTGAAGCAGTCTTCTTTTTGTCTTCCCGACAATTGCTAGTGTGGTTCAGTGTTCTTTTAATCCCCGTTGCCTCTGTTAAAATAATCAAACTAGCAGGTGAAAGTACACACAAGGTACACACATTCAAGGCTAGAGGAAAGTCTGTTCCATAGCAGTGAAGGGGCAAGAAATGATTGTGAGGAAGCCAAGTTGTGTCAGAATCTAGGAGAGGGTCAGTTGCATAGCTGTCAACCGTCCCTTATTTGGCGGGAAACTCCCTTATCCCAGCGCTGTGTCACGCTGCTGTCCCGGATTGATGATGTCCCTTAAATTTCCCGGGTTTCAATGCTGCCTGGGAGAAAATGGCTACTACCTCCACCTCCCAGCCACCCCCACTCGCAGGGATAAGACCCATCCCCACAAGGGTCTGCTTACATCACGGCAGGGCCTCGGTGGGCATCCGTCTGTCTCGGGAGATAAGGGAGACGCCTTCAGGGGAGAATGTCAGCTTGTTGGAGAGTCGCAGCGCCCACCACCCAACACACCCAAGGGCCCATAACTCCTGGGGCACACCAGGAGCTGCAAAGTTAATGTGCACTCCGGGGCGGGGGTGATCCGCCTACGGGGCGCGACTATGGTGCTATCTGGGGGCTTCCTTCCCCGAACAAAAAGCGGCCAGCTAGCCCCCCCTCCCTGGACTCCAGCGAGACTTTGGGAGCTCTAAGCAGGCAGAGGTAACTGCGTCCGGCCCATCCTGTCGGGCAGCAGGGCTCACCCCCTTCTTTAAAGGGCCAGCGAGGAGAGAACTATCACTGCTACAGCCACCCGAGGCATCCCTTACGACTAGCATGCACAGCTAGATATGCAGGGTCTTGCTCAGCACAGGATCTAGGGCAGGCATGCACTGGCGGAGGAAGAGGAGGGTGGGGGAGCACCTAGCCCCCAGCAGCGCAATCCTGGCAGGGTGCAATCGCGGCTGCCCCCCCCGGCGCTGGGCGCACCGCCCCCAGGCTGCGCGCCAGCCCACCCCCTGTGCCGCAGCACGGAGCTCCGCCACTGCAGGCATGTGCAACAGGTCTCTTGGGAGTTGGACGTGCCTGATCTAGGTGGAGGGGGATCCTTTTAGATTACCTGCTGCGCTGTTTTTCTCTGGGGCATTGTCACCTCTTGCCGGGACCTGGCAATGATCCTGAAGCCAACCTGCCCGAGCCGATGGAATGGCAGTCGAATCCTTGTGCACCCTTTTTTTCATTTGATGACCATTTCCCTCGCCTATTTCCGTTGTCATTTCACAGTACTGTACATGTCCGACATGGGGGAAAGGAAAGGAGCGGGTTGACTAAAATCCCTTATTTTGGCTGCTGATCCCTTATTTTCGAGGCTGCTGGTTCCTTATTTTCAAATCTGTAAGTTGACAGCTATGGTCAGTTGAGTAGAGCAGGGGCAGAGAAGGTGGAGAAAACAAAGCAGGCGTGACCAGGTAGCTGGACAAATAGCCAAAGGAATCTTGATCTGGAAGCAGCTGAAATTTCCAGGACCATGGTTGACCTGACCAGGAATTAGGAATGGGGCAGAAATTTGATTTTGTTTGCATTTTAATGAGAAGCAAGTCAATCCACACTTTTTGAACCAAAAACACAATTAGGCTATCCTTTGAAATTTGTACTTCTCCGAATTCTGAAGTGCAGGTCTCCAGCTAAACAATGCATGCAAAAATGCATAGATTAGGAGGAAGTATGCATTAAAAAGTGAAGTTCTCAACAAACATACGATTGCTTAGGGAGACATGAATCAGCTCTATTTCTGCATGATTCATTGGTAACATTTTTCCCCTTAAAAAGTCCATTTTAATAAGGTTCCAAAAGATTTGTTACCAAGATTTATGAGTATGTTGAAATTGTTCATTAAGCCTTGCTGCTTTTATAGTATAATTTTTAAAATCAGGAAACAGATGAGGGCAATTGCATTAATTACATCATAATAACATTGCTCGCACAGTAATCTTTGTAAACAAACACGTTCTGCGAGGGAAAGAGGTTGTTAACACAGTCTCTGCTTAATTAGGGTACACAGGAGTGGATCAAATTCTGCTTGAGTTGCTGATACCGAAAATCCTATGGGAGATAAGTCAACCAATATTTGTTTCTTATTGAGTCTGAAAATCTGTGTTGGATTGCCAGCATCCATTTTAGGTACCCAAGAGGCCAGGGGTATTATTTTTCCCTTCAAAATGTAAAATAATTGATAGGCAGTCGCAGGCAGAACTGTGTGTATTTTGTGAGGGGAAGGATGGCACCCTCCTGCTCCACATACAGAAACTAACGGTGTTGGCAGCTGACTCTTAGCTCACCCCTGGCAGGGTGGCAATATCCTCCACAGCAGGCTGGCTTAGGGAGGTGTAGGGCACACCATGTGGTACACTCAGACTCTTGAGACCTTCTCGCCATTTCCCACTCCACAACATCCACCACCTCAATGGGAGGCCTGCCCTGTCCAGACATGACTTCTTCCTATTACTGCAGAGATCCATCAGTGTTACCTCATCCTTTGCAAAGTACAGGAAGACAGTTCCTGATGGCAAAGAGCTAACGATATAAAACCTGCTACATTTTCAAAGCACTTGTTGCAGATGTTTCTTTGAATATTTCATAATAACCAGAAACACAGGTGCTTCCCGAGAAGTACAGTGGTAGCTCGGGTTAAGTACTTAATTCGTTCCAGAGGTCCGTTCTTAACCTGAAACTGTTCTTAACCTGAAGCACCACTTTAGCTAATGGGGCCTCCCGCTGCTGCTGCGCCGCCATGGCATGATTTCTGTTCTGATCCTGAAGCAAAGTTCTTAATCCTAGGTACTTTTTCTGGGTTAGCGGAGTCTGTAACCTGAAGCGTATGTAACCTGAAGCGTATGTAACCCAAGGTACCACTGTAATTGTGGAAGAGGGAAGAACACAGTGGGAGGAGGGATTCACTCAAGGAGCTCCATATGAGATGCTTTCTGCTTGTTTTTTCCAGGGTGTGTTGGGATCTGGGATAACATTACCTGCTGGCACCCTGCAGAAATTGGGGAAACCGTGACAGTACCGTGTCCAAAAATTTTCAGCAATTTTTTCAGCAAATCAGGTAATATATCTTTTATATAATGGAAACCATATTGAGGTGTGTGTGGTTTTTTAAGGGTTCTCATGTGCGGGTAACAACAGCCAGAAATTAAGAAATTATTTTTGCTACGAAGAGTTCATTTTAAATTTGGTGATGGGCAACTTACATACTGAAAGGGCTGTTGTTGTCATTGTCATTGTTGTTTCAATACCTGTATCTCAAGATGTGTACACTTACAAAGGCTTACTGCATGTCTATAATCCTGAAAACATGCAAGTGATTATATTCAGGTTTGCATCAAGGCCATAGCGCTGAGCAATTTCTATGAATGTATGTCATAGATATCGTGTCTGCAGGGTCTGTGAGCCACCAAACCTAAATGCAGTCCACCAGCTGTATATGGTGTCCCATGGGACTCTGGGTTTTGCAGCCTGTCCAGAACAGTAAACACAGGGCAGAAGGTTGGAGCTTGATTATGCACCTGGTAGGCCTCGCAACTGATGACTTGTGGGGCCAGCCCTATCATTAGACAGAGTGACACAGCTGCCTCAGGCTGTAGTTGCTGAGAGATGGAAAGTGGGAATAACTGTGTGGTCTGCACTGCACCCCCTATGCTGCCCTGCAGTGAGATTCGGCTGCCAGTCTAGTTGGCTTTTGTACGTGGAATGGGAAAAGGCACCATCTTGTCTTAGGCCACAGGCAGGAAAATATCTTCAGAGTGACCCTGATGACTGGTGGATGTCGACTGTTATAGAGGCCTGCCTTTATGTGGGTTATGGGCCACATTGGACCATATCTGTCCCTGGATCTATCTCATACACCTGGCAAGAAACAAGAGAATGGCTTAGGAGAACCCTAGGCCAACACATGCCCCCTCTCCAGCATCATTGGACCCCTACGCATGGGGCATAGCATTTGAACAGGACCCAGAAGTGTGTGAAACCCAACATAGGCTGACCTATTTTGCACAATATTTTAGATAAGATCTGAAATATTGTGCAGGACCTTTTTTAGAAGGGTACATTCAGCATCAGCAGAGGATGGACCACATTTGTGTCCTTCGCTTAATGGTATAGCATGTGGCTTGCGTGTAGAAGGTCCCATGTTCAGTCCCCAGCATCTCTAGATAGGATTGGTTGTGTTCCCCATCTGAAATCCTGGACAGCCTCTGCTAGTCAGTGTAGACCATGGGTAGGCAAACTAAGCCCTGGGGGCCAGATCTGGCCCAATCGCCTTCGAAATCCGACCCACGGACGGTCCGGGAATCAGCGTGTTTTTACATGAGTAGAATGTGCCTTTTTATTTAAAATGCATCTTTGGGTTATTTGTGGAGCCTGCCTGGTGTTTTTACATAAGTAGAATGTGTGCTTTTATTTAAAATGCATCTCGGGTTATTTGTGGGGCATAGGAATTTGTTCATTTCCCCCCAAAAAATATAGTCCAGCCCCCCACAAGGTCTGAGGGACAGTGGACCGGCCCCCTGCTGAAAAAGTTTACTGACCCCTGGTGTAGACAATATTTTGGTATGTGGACCAGTAATCTAACTCAATATAAGGCAGCTTTCTACGTTCTGTGTTTCCGTGTTCCCACCATGCTTATGGGATGGATTCAAGGGCAGGTATTCCCAATCCAACACGCTGATCTGATTATTCCAGGGTTACGGCTCCAGTCTTATTATGGATATGTAGATTTATTTAAGCATCGCCTACTTGGCAGGTGCATATTTATGAATTAGCGTTCAGAAGAGTTTCCTGCGATGTTCTGGGACAATAGGAAAGCCCTCCAGTTTGTTGTTCCTTCTAGAACTTTCTCTCATCTCTGCTCCTCTTCTCATAATTGGGACAAGGCTTTTAGAAACACATTATAAGCGAAATTGGGATTTGCTGTGTGTCAGAAGAATATTCATCTCTCCAGCTAGTTATTCATCACTGCAGGATCTGAAGGCTTTAATAACCCTGCCATAGATCATTCAATATCACCTTAAATAACAGTGTAGGGTAATGAAAGGCTTTTTATGAAGATAATTTTATTCAAATTACATCCCCATCTAACACATTTATAGCCACAAATTAGTCTTCTCAAAAGCTGGACGCTAATAGAACCTCTGCCAAGTGATTTTTAAATGTCGCACGGAGCCTCCTGATCTGTTGCTGACGAAGAACACACCCATACCTGGGGGAAGTATTTGGTCATTTTCCTAGTCGTGACAATACCATGGATGCTTTTGTTTTATTTTGGGATGATGAGACACAAGTTAGGTTATCTGAAGTAAGCACTCTGACTTTGGCCAAATATAGACACATGGGTTCTCTTGACTTCAGCGTCAAGACACTCAGAGCAATCCTGATCCCTGGCTGGAAGCAACAGGGCATTGCAGAAGGGCAGACTCAGCACTGAATCTAAAGTCCTGTCACCTCCACTGGCTTGGGAAGTGGGAAATGGCCAGTTTAGGGAAGAGGAAGAGGAAGAAGAAGGAGGAGGAGGAGGAGGAGGAGGAGAGTTTGGATTTGATATCCCACCTTTCACTCCCCTTCAGGAGTCTCAAAGCGGCTAACATTCTCCTTTCCCTTCCTCCCCCACAACAAACACTCTGTGAGGTGAGTGGGGCTGAGAGACTTCAAAGAAGTGTGACTGGCCCAAGGTCACCCAGCAGCTGCATGTGGAGGAGCGGAGACGCGAACCCGGTTCCCCAGATTACGAGACTACCGCTCTTAACCACTACACCACACTGGCACACTGGGAGCTTGCTGCTGGTTACCACTGGTGGTAGCTTCTTACCTGCCAGGGTGAAACTAGGCCTCCATTGTGACTGGGCAACCACCACCACCACCACCACCACAACAACACTCCTCTCTGCTGGTGGAGGCTAGTGATGGTGTGTACATTACTATAGGTTATAGTAGATTGGCAGCAGGAGCCTCAAGTCACCTGTGAGGGACAACCTTTTTAATGAATTAGAATTCCATTCCTGATTGCTACACTTTCACCCCTTTTGTTTAGGAAATATCAGCAAAAATTGTACAAGTAATGGTTGGACAGATATATTTCCAGATTTCTTCTTTGCTTGTGGATATAAAGAAGTTGACGAAGACAGCGCGGTAAGTCAAACAATTCTATGACTCGGAATCGAATGTACTGGAGAACTATTGAAATTTTAAGCTGCCAATTTGTGTTAATTAAAGGAAAACAAAATCAAGCTAAATGTTAGAGATGGAACACCATCCATATCAGTTTTAGAAAGTGCAACATAAAACACTGCTCCTGGAAGACTGCATAGGTCCATCTTAATTGTAGTGGCCCAAACCAATTGGCCTTTATGGGTCAAAACCAGCACCTAGAGTTGATTTTAGAAGGCAGTATGGACCCAGTGGAGATGCTGGAACACTGGTCGAATGTTCTAGAAATTCTAATTCTGCATATGTACTGAATCAAATATGCCTTATCATCAAATAAATCTTGTGTTTTCCATATTTGTTGACGTTTTCCTCCTGTGACACTGCTGACTAACTGCGCAAAGATTTTAAAACCAAATGATAAACTCTACCAGCCAGACCTCATACAATCTTGTTTCCTACAGTATTCACTCAATCAATTTTTTGGACCATTTTCAGGACCATATTAGGCCTCGTTTGAGAAATCATCCATTTTTAAAAAAAAAGATAATGCACCATGGTGCTGTGGAGGTAGAATTAAATCTTGCACTCTTTCCCCCATCAAAATCACACACACCCCATAGCTGCTATTTGTCCCTACAGAGCAAAACATGCAGGCACCTATGAGGCCTGTTTGTTTTGCCCTGTGGAGCAAATAGCAGCTTTAGGGGGCATTAACTGGGTTAATGGGAGAGGGAGTTAGCTAGTCCTACCCCATTCCACATTGCCTTATGCATCTTTAGAGGTAGAACCTAGAGGAGGGGAAAGGTGTAGAAATGGACTCTGAATTGCAGGTTGTTTTGGAACCTTGTGTGACGTTAACATATGAGAGTGCTGGAGGTGAATTAGTTAAACAAGTTACCCAATCAGAACCCTGGGGGTGGAGTCAGAGGGACTATAAAACCAGCTCTGGGAGGGGTGAAAGGGGAGTTCGTTGGGAGCTGGGTGGTTGGAGTGGAGTGGGATAGAGTCTGTGGGTAGGTTGAGTTAGTGTAGCGAAATAAGTTGAGTCAGGAACAGTTAGGAGCTAGGAAGACAAGTACGGTAAATATCTGAGAGGTGGTTTAGTGAGTGAGAGCAGGTAGTGGAAGTTATAGGTCTGGATAGGCACCCTATGATTGTAATTGACCGATACTGTTTATGAAACCACATGCTTGTTAAACTGCAATAAATAAACAGAAGTTTATGTTCCAATTTAACCCTGACTGGACTCAGTATTGTACCAGGTAGGGCCTGGGTGGTGGCAGCGAGAAATCAAGTGGTGGCACAGGGATCAATAGACGGTGAAACATCCGGGGACCCTGTGTGATCGCCACACCTTGAGGGCCTGTGTCCCTGTGGAAGGGATTTACTTGAAGACAAGGCCTGTGGTGTAAAGGTTACACAGAAGTCACCTTTACGGGGGGATGACTGGGAAACATTTCTGTGATGCTGGTCCTGCTCTAGCATTTTGTGGCCATGCTGGCGACCTCTACCACCACCATCCCCAAAAAATTATTGCAATGGAAATTACAAGTCGTTCATGTTGACATATTTTCACAATGCTGTAGTTATTTTCTAAAGAAATGTGGGTGAAAACCTTCAGGCCTATTTCTGAGGAAACATACTGATCACTGAGGTTGTTGTTGTTGTTAGGATTGATTCCCATGAGGCACCTCAAAGCAATTTATAGTTGTTCTCCTTGGCCTTGGGATGTGGGTGGTTTTGGTCACGGGATAAACCAATTCAGCTGGTTAGGTGGAAGCGGGCTCTTCAGAACCACAAACCCCTCTCACCATCCCTCACATAGCTGAAGCCATGTCCCTAACGCATCCTCCTCCATGGTCTTGCTGTTTCCGTCTACAGTGAAATTGCACATGCTCCATAGCTGTCAACTTACAGATTTGAAAATAAGGGACCAGCAGCCTTGAAAATAAGGGACCAGCAGTCAAAATAAGGGACCTGCAGCCTCACCTGTTCCAGGCACTCCAGTCTTCCTGTCCTCCTGCAGTCTGGTCAAACTCATGCTGGGTAGCTTCGAGAACACTGTCCGACCAACTTTGTAACCAGAGGTTCAACTGAATAGAATCTGAATCACATGCACCACAAGGCCTACGCAGCCTCAGCTTAAGATGGCTCCCCGGCCTGGCTTTGAACTGCAAAGTTTGCAGCAGCACGTGCAACAAAATGGCGTCCAGCATTCAAAACCCCCCTCAGCTTGCATTAACTAGCCATACACAAGGCATGCAAGCTCCACCCCCCAGTCATTCTTAGACTTCTTATTGGGTGAGCAACACAGCCAAGCAACACAGTTGGAGCCTCCCTCCTCCTTGGCCAGCAGGGAGGGAGGGAGAGGAGCTGCTTCCTTTGAAATTTAAGGGACATCATTTAAGGGACATCCATCAATAAGGGACAGCAGCGGGACATGGCGCTGGAATAAGGGACTGTCCCTTCAAATAAGGGACACTTGACAGCTATGCATGCTCTGGCCTCTGAAAACTGTGCTGTGATGGGTGGATTCCAGCCCCAGGCAATAGATTAGAAATAGGGATTCAGAAGTGACCCATGTCTTTTAGTGTCTAGATTTGCACTGCACATTAGACAGTAGGAGACTGTAGGATTTGAAACTGCACCACATCAAACTACAGGCAGAAGACTGAATTATTAAAAAATGTCCACCCCACAGAAAACTGACTTGCAAGGAGAACGCTTGCTCACCAAGCGGAAATATTTAGCCTAACTCTCCCACTGAAATTCTAGTTTCCCTGTCCCCCCATGCATAAGTTTAAGGGGGAGGGCATTTCTGTCCCTGCCACTTCAGAATCAGATCTTATTTTGTGAGGGGTGTAGAATGGTTCCAAGAAAGCTTTAGAAGCCCCATCTAGAAATTTATGATAGATGAAGATGTCGTATTATGTGTGTGCCCCTATTACTCTTTGCTTAATATCTCTCTGCAAAGGCATGTTTCATCCTGTGGGTTTTGACAACGATTATTAGCTCACTTCTGGTCTTTCTCATTTTGTTCTGTCAGAGCCATGCATGTAGACACAGGGAACATTTGAACACCGTGTACATGTGGATAGCAGCTGCCTGTAGACCTACTGAAGCTTTTCCCCACTTTCGTTCCTTTTTAATTACGAACAGGAAAAGCCTTCTTAAATATATATTTATTTATATATATGGATATACATATTGCAATAATTAGGGGGTCTGAGAAAGCTAAGCAATATAATTTTTCCAAGGAAGCAGAATGCAAACATTCAGAGATTTCCTGTAAGGGGGAGGGGGATGTGATATATATTCCCTTGAGTGACGCATGTCACACTGTACTGCATACGTTAATAAAAGCTGTGGCCTTCCCAAGCAATCACCATCGCAGAGACCATAGGAAACATGGAATTTCCCCCTCCAAGGGCAGAAAGAGATTGCTTCTATCTCAGAGAGGCTCCAGTGCCAGATTTTCCCTCCCTGCTACTGCGGTAACTTTCACAGTCCTCCTCTCTCTGATGTTCAGTATAACCTTTGACTCCTCTGTCTCCTGTGCCTCCCATATTCACTTCACCACCCAGCCATATTCAATAGCATTGCAACAAAATCGCCTCTTTTCTCTATCCACACGGCCACTTGCCTAGATTACTGCCATCGTCTCCTCCCTGGTTTGCCATTCTCTCACCGCGGTCCCTTCATATCCATCCCATACCCTGCTGCCAAAACTATTCAGGCTTTGATCACACGACACCTTACTTAAACCCTTGCTCTGTTTTCCCGTTTTCTTCTGGGTTCAGCATAAGCTCCTCATCCTGACTTTTAAAGCCTTCCATGGACTTTTGCCCTCCTCTTATCCTACCCCCATTCATATCAGTAGCTATCCCAGTCCGTGACTTTCACTCTTCCAGCTCCACCACCCTCTGCTTTCTGAAGGTCTCCTGCTCCCTTAGATCCAATCCAAATTCCACCCCCAAGCTCCTACAAAGGGAGGTGATTTGCAGGCTTAAGAGCTTCATGTTCTCTCTTCTGCAACTAAGAGAAGCTCCGAAGAAGGGACTTACTGTAAGCTGGAAAATCAGTGCAGCAACAACTGGTTTTTTTAAAATTCCTCCTTACCCCCTTGTTGTTGTTGTTGTTTAGTTGTGTCCGACTCTTCATGACCCCATAGACCAGAGCACGCCAGGCACTCCTGTCTTCCACTGCCTCCCGCAGTTTGGTCAAACTCATGCTGGTAGCTTCGAGAACACTGTCCAACCATCTCGTCCTCTGTTGTCCCCTTCTCCTTGTGCCCTCCATCTTTCCCAACATCAGGGTCTTTTCCAGGGAGTCTTCTCTTCTCATGAGGTGGCCAAAGTATTGGAGCCTCAGCTTCAGGATCTGTCCTTCCAGTGAGCACTCAGGGCTGATTTCCTTCAGAATGGATAGGTTTGATCTTCTTGCAAGTCCATGGGACTCTCAAGAGTCTCCTCCAGCACCATAATTCAAAAGCATCAATTCTTCGGCGCTCAGCCTTCTTTACCTGGATTCAATTCAAATAACACTCCCCCACCATGAACCTTTTTGTTTGTTGTGGGCTTTTTGTTTTTTTTTTTGAGGGGTGGCCTGCCCCATCATGGCTCAAAACTTGAAGGAAGCTGACAGCAGCAGAGACACTTGCTCATAAGGCAGGTTCATGGCAGGAAAGGCAGATGCAAAGAGCAGGACCTTGGACAGAGCACCATGGAAGGGGCCAGCTGGTGCTAGAAAAGCTGGTGCCTCAGGTGAGTGAAGAGGCCTTCTAAAGGCTGGCTGGCCTTGCCCTGCTATTGGCCTTCCCTTCCCTGAGAAGCTGGCTTGGCTCCTCAAGTGCCATTGTCCAATCTGCAGCCATTGGCTCCTTTCACAGAGATGGGAAATGTGTGACCCTCCAGATGTTCATGGAGGAGAGGGTTATCGATGGCTACTAGCCATTATGGCTAAGCCAAGCCACCACAGTTGGA